TTAGTGTTTGATAAATATGCTTATCTTAGCAGTGTGAAGGGGAGCAGTGCAAAGATCTGCAAAGAAACTTCTAGTGCTGCCCAAGCTTGAAATTTTTTGTTGAATTATCAAAGGCTATCTGGAGTAAGTACAGTGGAGTAAGTCCGATAGGAAGTAATTCAAAAAAAAAGAAAGAGGAATGGGGAGAGAATTTGAAAAGATTTGGTTTATATCTAGCTTTCAGCAAATGAAGCACAAACTTTGTAGCAGAAATTAGCTGTTTATGGTTTGGTTTGTTAAAGCAACGGACTGAAAGGCGGCTTCTATCGTGATCGTTGCTCAGTGTAAAATGCATATATTGGCCCAAAAGGAATCATTGAACGGAATAGAACCTTCTTTTACGTTTAAATTTGATTAATACACGGAATGTGTCTATAAACTTGCGCGCATATGAATGGTCAGAAGTCATCGTAAAAGAGGTGAAAAGATTTTTGCAGCATAGTCGCCTGGCATTTTACAGTTTTAATCACACGGGTTGCATTGGATGTTTTTTTTTTTGCGTAAAGCACGGTAAAAAGTCTCTTCTCCTTTCCGAACACCTGTTGGAAGATCACGTATCACATTTTGTAGACTACATCTGCTTGACCGGGATTGTAAAAAGGAGACCCACTGTCCACCGTTTATGTATCAAGCTTAGCAACCCCAAAGCGTCTGCTGACTGCTTATTTCAAAGACAGATATGCTCGTAGGGCTTCTGCTCCTAATGACTGTCACATAAGGAATTGTCCTTTGTTTCGCTAAACATTTAGAGAATTGATTATTGAACTTTTATTTCAGTAGCATAATAACTTATGGTTCATTCGACAAACATTTTATAACAACTATAATCAATGCGGCATCTCGAAACTGTTAAAAATTAGAAGGTGAACAGAGAGGATTTGATACACAACCAAAAAGCATTGCAAACTTTGCTTCACGCTTTTCATTCAGAAAAAAATCTTATTCACAAATTTTATATGAAATGTACTCTCTGATAAGAAAGATGAGATATGACGTCGCGTCTTTTGTGTTTGTATAAAAGAACAATTTTGGTAAGTTCACTGAGATAGTAACAAGTGAGATTAAATCACAGCATTTACAAAGGATGATGTTTTCTGAACTTCGCGGCCAGTCGTTCCCCTAACGGCGAGTTCTTACTGAGAGCGCTTCTCTCTTCCAAGAGGGTGCTAAATTGAGTATTTTAAATTGTCATCTCCTTCACTTTATTATAATAAAAGACTCACTTAGTTTGATTGAAATGTTGTGGATTAGTAGATAAGATGCAAGCCTGGATCAGTGTTTGTGCAAAAATGTCTCTCTAGAACAAAATGAAACTTAATGTGGGAAAAAAACTATAAGCCACTGTATAAACATTGCAAACAAAACTACCTGCGCATTACTTCCTCCAACTCGATACACTTCATGTCGTACAGGTAGCATCTTCTCAGCGGCTTCATCATACCGTCCTTTTCCAAAACTTTGTATTCCTTCACATACCGCTAAGCCGACCTCGCGACTGACTTTAGCGTTGTCCTCGTCGGTGTTACTATGAGAACTTTATATTAGGAAGCCTTTCGTCTCATAATCAGAGCCAAATAAAGTGC